GCAAACCATCCATGTCGGTGGATTATATCTTCTAAATCCCCACACCAACAATCCAACCCTCCTCCTCAAAAAGGGATTTTGGTAGACAACTACGTTAAATATCTCACTTCATGAGAATAAGTTTGGGATCTACACACATATTCTTCTGGCCCGAGTTATATAATATAAAAGCAGTCTTCAATTTAATGATGAAGCTTAATTCTTACTTATTGCCCGTTGCCCGAGTCCCAAGTAAAAACCTACCAGCGGCCAAGAACCTCATGGTTATGGTCGCCCCAAGGGATTAAAAGGTTTCTTTTCCGTATGTAAACTTCTTGCATATATGAAGAGAAGTGATTGATCCCAAAAATTCTAACAAAACGTTGTACAAAAATGGGAAATATATTGGAGAAGCATTTGTAATTTATCCTCTTCTTTCTTCGTAAATATAATACATTATCTAAATGACTGTTTAGGCCTACCAAATTAGAATTCAATCCTGTCACTGTTTTGTGCTCATAATCTTTATCTTATTTTTGCTTTTTAACCACCTAACCCACCCTCACAAGCAAGATTCGGAAGAAAGATTTGGGTCATTCTTTGATCAATAATTTGCTTATTGATAATCAGTAACCAAAGTTGACGCGAGGTGTTTGTTTGTACAGTTAAAAGGGGAAAAAGGAAAGGAATAAAAACAGTCGAATTAAAATTTTACGAGTTGAATTTTGAAATCAATTTTGTATCTCCTTTGCCATCAATCCCATCGAATAAACAATGAAAATTTCTGGATAAAAATAAATAGAAAAACAAGAGTCATAGAATATCAAGTATTGCCCCACACGGTTTACAGTCTTTTAAAAGGGAAAATTAATTAACAAAGACTTTAGCAACTCTCCGCGACCGGAAGTCGACCTCACCATGTTGAAATATGAGAGTCACATTGATTTAGACCCTAACTGGTTCAGAACAGTGTATTGAATTGGAAATTCAGGGTGTGACGGGCTGGGAAATTTAAAATAGGTTGGCAGCAACTAGCAAGAGGCAATGGCGACGGGGACCCAAAACCAAAGAATTCGCGACGGGCATATAATATCGCGGTCAGTCTACTACTGAGCATTAAATACTGAGGGAGAATTCAGCAGAGTTTTAAAACAGATGATTTCGGAGTTCGACAGCACTCCAGATCCGTAAGTGGACGATTGATTCAAGAAAGGATCAACCTAGGAATCTGGATATTCCTCCATCTCTCTCTGAGCCCCCGGCTAAATTATCCGTACATCTTGGCCGGCCTTAATTCCCAATAATAAACTTGCACTAATGTGACCTTTTTTTTTAATCCTTAATGTGACATTTATTTTTGGGCTTGTCTTCTACTACCTTTCTTTTTCTCTCTTTTTCTTTCCCTTTTTTTTTTTTTAAAAAAATTTGGTTGGCTTAGGACTGCTGTCGAATCAAGTCGAGCTCGATAATGTACTACTTAAACTCTGCTTGAGCAAAAATATTTGAATTCGAACTCGTTGAGTTCTTCAAAATTAAACTCGAGTTTGAGCTCGAACTTATTTTTCCTTACTCAAACTCGAGTTCGAATTTGAATTTGACCAAATCAAGTTCAATTGAGTTTTCAAGGTTTTTTTTTTTAGTAAATTTCATAATTTTGTAATAAATAATTAAAAATTATATTATAAATACATTGCTCGAGAATGCTCGATGAATACTCAAGTTTTAATTTTCTATTCGAAATCGACTCAATTACCTTATCAAGTAACTCGAACTTGACTTGAACTTGGTTAACATTAATAAAAGTGTTTGGATAGCACAAATATGTCAAATAATATTTCGCTTGCATCATAAACACATTTCCCAACTCACCTTTTTATATTCCCAATTACCTTTTTATCTCACATACATCACATCACAAAAAGTGCTACAGTAATTATTCCAAATAATATTTCAAAGAATACTCTATCCAAACAAAAACAACTAACTATTTTGACCAATATTTTGAATTATTCAGCTTCGAACTTGTTAGTTGTTAGTAACTCGGTCAAAATAGAGTATTATTTTGAAATATTGGTTAATTGATTGCTAATTGGATAGAGTATTATTTGAAATATTATTTGGAATAATTACTGTAGCACTTTTTATGATGTGATGTATGTGAGATAAAAAGGTGATTGAGAATATAAAAAGATGGGTTGAGAAATGTGTTTATAATGCAAGCGAAATAATATTTGGGATATAAGCACTCCATTCTCCAAAATTGATCTTGTGCACTCCAATGAAAAAGTACTCGAGGAGAGTACAATGCTAAACTACAAAATTGTAGTCATTGAAGTCCATGTTTTATTTGTCATTTATAGATTACTACTTCTCACAGACTTGGTAGATCGAATATTTAGAGACTCCACTAAAAGCCCTTCATGCCTCGAAAATCAAATGACAGAACAAACGCTGAAAATTATGAAATACATACGAGTAAACATGATCTATTCCTCTCAAATTCACCTTCACCAGTAGCATTATTACCAATATCAAACAAATTGGTCCGAATATTTCATATGCCCCATTATGTACTATACTCATTTTGTTAGTATTAAATTCTTGAATTTTCTCTAATGGATTGGGCCATGGTTACTCAGTTTAAGGATGTGAAGCCATATTACCCCACATCGAATTCTAGAAAAGACCATTATCTTATCTTCATTTAAGTCTTTCTTCTTTTTTTTTTTTTTTTTGAAAAAAAAAAAGCTACCAGACAACATTAGAAACGTGTAAAATGTTAGGACCATGAAGGAAATTTTCCCTTCAATTCAGAAAGGATGGAAATTTGGCCGAAACCATGAAGGAAAAGCAAGCCAAACGCAAGACGTCTAACGTTTTCAGCCATGCGAAAGCAACGGTTGAAAATCCTAGCCAAGGGACGTACTAGTCAAATTTCATTATCGTCTTGTTCGCAATTTTCCAGACATGAAAATCCTAACGAATTTTAATGGTCCGTTGATCCCTTTTGCAACCCCTCTGCGTGTGTGTGTTTTTCGTTGTACGATCTCTTAAATGCCGAAGAAAATACAGAAGGAAGCCAGCCAGAAAATTTTAAGTCTTATTGTGAGAAATAAATTATGCATCTCGATTTGAAAAGCTGAGGACCAACTCCAAAGCAAAAGGATGGGGTACTTCAGTACTATTGTAACCTTGCCAGTCAATTCTTTGAAAAATGATTGTTGGAACATGCTGAACTTTTCTGTTTTTGCTAAAAAAGAAATCATACGGCAAATCTTATATAAAATTTGAACTCTGTTTTCTTCTGGATTGTTGCTTATTAGTATATAAATTACCCTAGATTTGATTATTTTCATCACTTCACTGTGAAATGACGAAAAGGATGAGAAGAAACCGTTAATAATGAATTGTCCATTTTGACATAATGAAGAGTCCTTTCATGTTGAAATTCCTGGCTCCTAATTTGCTTAGCTTCTTGTGGTCGAGTCTTAGCTCTCTCTCTCTGCAGTCAGGTTCAGGGTTCGAATCTTGGCCTAGCAGTTGGAGGATGGTCTCGTGAAAACGCGTGGAGAGCAATGGGAGATAAAAAAAAATGAGTTAAAAAAAAGTCTTAACTTTTTTTTTGTGGGGGGGGGGGGGGGGGTAAAAATCATTACCCATACAAATGTTCAAAGTTCAAACAAAGAGAAATATTGTTGACAGCAGCAATTTTTTTCAGTGTCACAGCCCATTTTGACATAAATTGGCGAATGTACCCTCTGTAGTCAATTAGAAGAGCCAAATGAGTGGTGGTAAATTTGTCATTTAATTAGAATGTGCTGTGGCAGTAACATTTCCGCTGTGCCAATATCAGCAGCCGAACGAAATGTTACGTTATAGGAATTTAGCTTCACTGATATTGATATTAAAATTCAATTGCATAGTACTACTTCTTATAAGAATTTCAGTTTTATTATAAGAATTATAGTTATTCTATCCAAAAAAGGAAAAAAAATTACATGACTAATATTTGTTGCGGATATAGAGGATAAAGGCGCAGCATAATTGTGTTCCGATTTGTAAAAGCAAAAACTTTTTATTCTTTTGAAAAGGGAAAATGATAGGTTGTATTTTTTTTCCCACAAACGTTAACAGTTATATATATGATAATCACTTGATAATACAAGATTTAATTACAAAAAGGGGTTACTACCCTCATATCCTTCCTCACTAATTCCTTGTTCCCATTCAATATCGTGCACTAACTTGACAGCAAATTGAGCTAGAGCATGGCTGATTTCATTTCCAGTTCTAGGTATGAACACAAACCTACAACTTTCAAAATGTGTTCTAAGATCCTGCACATCCTTCATAATAGTTGCAATTCTGACATCATAGTCATTGCAGAATGATAGGTTGTATTTGAATTGATATTTTTCAGAGTTTCTATAAAAATATATACAATAATAATTTAATATTTTAAAGGTAAAATAGTGATCGTAAAATGCGATCACAAGAAACGTAAAATTTTTTCTTCCAAAAACTTTTTGATTCATTTCCTTTCTAAGAGAAGAGAACTACAAACCTTGGGTGCTTACCATACATGCTACTGTACTGGTAGTAGTACTCACAAGGTGAAACGGTGATCCAGGACTCTCAAAGCTTTGCCAACATACGCTTGATTGTTTCTACATTAAACTCTCCCGGTAAAGAATCAGTTACCATATTAATTGACTATAAAAACAGGTTTTCGCCAATCTGGCTTTGTACTTTCGCTTTCGGTGATTGGCTAGCTACATGCAACTCCCTGAAGTTCTGACTTTCATAAAATATACTACCAAAGCACCTTGGCTTAACTACCAATTTTATTCATTAAACCATTTCTTTGTGGTTTACTTGTTCAACCTCAGCTCTGGTTTCGGTGGGCCTACTCCTGCAATTCCTTGGAACCTTCGTACCTAAGTAAGACTGTGCAAGCTTACCCCAATTGCCAAGTACGAGAAGTTACAAGAGTTAGTAGACCTAAGAATGGTAGTAGAATACAGATGCCGCCCTCCTCAAGAAACTACTCCTAATTAATGCAATTTTCACACAATTTCACTATTACATCGAATCCATTGACCAAGAAGTAACTTTAATAAGTATTATACCGACAATTGTATCAATAAAAAAGACCTGATAAATAGCTTCAGACAAGTAAACCCTTTTAGGAGCATCATTACGTTGTGCAATCTTCCCAAACTTTCCTCAATTTCATCACCTCGAAAAAATCCCAACTTTTCTGTCAATTTTCAAACCCTTTTGTTCAAAAAATCAAGGGCTTTTCTTCATTTTTGTCAAGAATACTGAATGCTGGTAGTAATAATCCACATGGGTTCAGAGTTGCAATAAGGTTGCTTGCTTTGCTACAGTAAAGAAGGAACCTAGAAGAAAAAGGACGGGGAATATATTGTTCATGTAAATGGCTTTGCTGACTTCTGTAACAGAAATTCCACAAAGGATAGAGAGAATAAGGTATCCAGCGGTTGATTTAAGAGGGCTGAGTATGAGTTCATCCAGCAGCGAGTTTGTTGAAGAGAGGAGCAGTTCAACTTCTTCTTCAACCACAAGCCCAAATTTTGCTCCACCATCTCGAGCTTTGACAGATAGTGATGATGCAGTGTATGTTGCTTTGGGGAAAGAAGTCAAAGAGGCAGAGTTGACATTATCGTGGGCATTGCATAATTGTGGAGGGAGGAAAACTATCATTCTTCATGTTCATCAGCCTGCCCAGAAAATTTCCATGAGTAATGAATTATGATATTATTATTTTCTTTGAATTGATTACAAAAATTGCCTTTGCCGGTATTTGTTTTTCTGGGATTGCTTGATTATGGTTTGAATTTTGGTGGGGTTTTGAGTTAAGTTTTATTTGGTCAAATATAAACTGGAAATTTAAAAGTTTTTTGGTTTGCTTGCTTAATTGTATTAGGAGGAACTTGATCATCATTGGTTCATGTTGTTTGTTTGTTTTCTGTTTGAAAACTTGACGAGAGATTGTACTTTAGTCCTTTTTGGATTAGGGAATTGGGACAGCAGTGGAAATCAATTCCTTTTTTTTTCTTGCTTATGTATGTGTGGAAGATGTTCTGAAGCCATTGATCTTGCTTCCCCTGCTGCTGATAAAGAACAGAAATTAACTGAATGTGGTCTAAACCTCTGAATCCTCCTTAAAAATGGGTTTCTAATCCGCTTGACATAAAATTTCTGTGTTCTTCATGAGGAACTGAAGACATGTTTTAGCAGATAGAAATGTGCTTTAATTTTTCTTTTGATGTGTATTCTTTATGATCAAATCAACTCATTTTGGTATTTCATATTTTGCAAGAGTTTACAGTACGTAATGTTTTGGGGAAAAAAAAAAATATTTACAGAGAGTCTTTGTATTCCTATTTTGTTAGCTGTTCTCTACATTAAGCCTTGTCTGGTTGGCTGCCTTGTCTCTCATCCTTCACCTGATTTATAATGTAATAAGGGAACTATTCCATATCAAGATGACAGTTATTTAACACCCAGAGAGAGAGGGAGGGAGAGAGAGAGTAACTTGGATAGCTTCTTGATTAGCTTATTAACTAACCATTCCTAATTCAAACTTGAAAGAAGAATGTCTTTGCAGTAAGTGATGGTTCAGAAAGAATCGCCTATGCATTGCTCGCATTGCTCATGTGGTGCATAATTTAGCACAACTTGGTTAAATGTGTCAGCTGTCAATCGTGAAATCAAGGTTCTTGTTGAGTGATGAACGACATTATCATGTGTCAGATATGTCAATCTAAGTGTATCTAAAATGTCATTCTTGGTTTGTAGTGGGTGCAAATGTTCCCATTAGTAGGCTGGAGGAATATCGAGTTAGAGCACATCATGAAGCCGAGAGGCAAGATATGCAAAAGCTCCTTGACAAGTACATGTTGATTTGCAAGAAAGCAGGGGTATTGTCCTTCATTCTCTTTCTGTAGGTTTTGTTCATTGAACTCTTTTTGTTCTTTGACTGACTATATGTAATTATTAAAATCCTAATTCTGTTTTTCCACTGAGTAGATGGAAAACTAAAATTGTTGTGTTACTATAGCACCAACAGCCAATTAGGACGCTCAGTACTCTGTTTTCTTTTTTTTTAATAAAGGTGCAAGTGGATAAACTATACATTGAGATGGACTCCATTGAAAAGGGCATTGTAGAGCTAATTTTACTGCATTGTATCAAGAAGCTTGTAATGGGAGGTGCAGCTAAAGGACATTATTCAAGGTAAAAACCTTATATTTATCTTATATTCTTTTGGTGACATTTTAAACTCATCTTAGCCACCGGGCCTCCATTTCTTCCTTAGAAGTTTTATGAAACAGTAAAGTAAATCCTAGTTGGCATAGAATTACCAAGAACACTTTAGTCTCAGGAGAGTTGAAGAAGAATACCTCTATAAGCTCAGCTGGCTGGGACCTTATTTGGGTACCATAAGGCTTCTGGTTCGACCATCAAGCCCTCCCCTTCCCCTTTCCTCTTGTAAGGATAAGGTTTACAGTCTCTGTTGAACCAAAGGAAAAGAAGGGCAACTTGAACACTAGAAAATTTATTAATGACAGGTTCACAGAAAAATTCCTTTGCTTCCTGAAAGTCAAACCTCTTTGCCTTTTCCATCAATTAACTGATCAGCTGCAGTCTTTTCACTTTTCTTTATATTTCTCCTCTTTTGGGGTGCTGGGTGGAAGGAGGCTGTTAGGAAAATAAATTATGAAACAGAAATGCTACATAAAGAAATTACATGGTGTGCAAAGGAATATTTGTGATGCCCTTGTGGAGCTTCTCCACCATTTTGGAGCACCCATTGCTTATTCTCGACTGGGTGAGTTGACTCAATTCTTTAGTGCGGTATATCTTTTTTAGTGTGCATGTTGAAAAATTCAACAAATATGCTTTCAAATGATTCATTGGTGTGATTACAATCTCATTTCTGCTTGCAGTTATCATAGAAATAAATGAATACACTAGCTACATCTTTTGTTAACAAGATTACAGTTGATATGTGCTATCATATTATATAAGCATTATGTTACTTGTAATGATGATGTGAATACATCTGTTTCTAATGTTAAGCAATTGATTCAGGAAGATGATGGAGCCTAGGTCTAAGAAAGCCATCTATGTGCGGCAACAAGCACCTAGTTTCTGTCAAATTCGGTTTATATGCAAAGGGCACCTGATTCATACAAGGTATTTCTTCTGATAGTCTTCCTCATGTCTTCTAGTGAGCTTTCATCCAGAGAAGTAAATAAGGGTGTATAACATGACTAATAGATGGACCACCTGCTTGTGATCATTTCCTAAAAAACAGATATAGCCTGGAAGTTTTGAGAATTCTTAACTTAATTTGCTGAAATTTTAGCTGGCAGCAAGTTTCGGAATAACTATCTCTTTGGTTTTGCTTGATGATTAGTAGTTCAAGTTCTGATCTATGCAGGGAAGGTACACCAAGTGGGGTCAACATGGAGGGTATGTCTCCATTACTTCAGCCTTGTCCAAGTGGAGACAACTTGGAGGTTATGTCTCAATCATTTCAGGCTAGTCTGAGTGATGAAACTGGACAATCTCATTCCTTAAGATCCAGATCTGTTCCCCAGGGGGAGAATGGCCAATTACTCTCATCATTGTCAGTTCCTGACCATCGTAGGGTAGTGTCTGACAATCATGCCCTGAAATTCACAGGAGTTTCTCCCCGTGACGGCCTTGGAGGTGTATCACCTCATAGTAGGTCAAGTGTCCAACAGAGCTCTGATGGTTGGGACGGGAGACCACAGAGAAGTCATTCACTGGCTTCACGTTTTTCTTCTTCTTCATCAAGTGAAATAATTGAAGATTTAGCCTCACTCTCCATTCCTCGGATGGTGGGGAGTGGAAATGAGTTGGATGCCCCACTTCATTCTGATGAGGATTACTGCAGTTTGTCTCCTTCTCCCCTAGTCACAGTAAGTAAAAAGAAGATCATTCTGTCATGGTCGTTGATAACATGTATGGAGTTATCACTATCTAATATTTGCATGTGATGAGAAAGTGCTAAAAGTTATACAAGTGTATATCTAATTGTTGGGACATCCATACTGTTTTATTCCTTGTGACATGAGTTTTTCTTTCTGATATTCGTGAACTTAAGTTATCCATTTGAGTCGTTCTGTCCTTTTCCAGGAAGGGAATATGCATGATGAACTCTACAACAGACTCCAACAATCTATGGAGGATGCGGACATTTCTAGGCGAGAAGCATATGAAGAATCAATGAAGCATAGGAAAGCTGTAAAAGAGGCTATTGAGGCTGCCAGATGGGTAAGCTTCTATTTGCAATCATCTTTTGCAACGGTAACAGTTAATTTTGTATGTTGTCATTCAAATGACGTTAAGTCCTCTTACTTGGACACTTATAATTTTGGTGAACAATGCTAGCTGGTGAAATTGTTTCTCTCATTCTAACCTTTATGCAAATTTTATAAGGTATCTCATTGTTACTTGGACGGATTTTAATTCAGCAGAGATTAGATAAGTGATTACAAACTGTTCCTTTTTTTTTTTCCTATTTTGGGGGCAAAATTTTGGTATTTGAATTTCTATTTGAAGTAAAAAAATATATTAAAGAGAACATTATACTCTGAGAATCAGTTTTGTATAGAGCTCAGATTAAAAAATTCTATTAACAATCATGACTCCTAAAGTGAAGCAGTCTTCAATTTTAATTCTTTTAACAGGCTAGAGCATCAGAAGCTAGGTATTCAGAGGAATTCAGACTGAGAAAAGAAGTTGAGGAAGCGCTAGTAAAGCACAAGGAAGAAATTGAAAACATGCAATATCAACTAGATGAAATCAAGAATAAGCTCCAAGTTGCTATGGAACAGAAATCCTCTCTGGAGTCCCAAATTGCAACTTCTGATAAGACAGTAGAGGATTTGAAACAGAAAATGTTCGCTGCCATTGACCTATTGCAAAAATTCAAGATTGAAAAAGATAATTTACAGGTTGAGCGTGACAACGCAGTCAGGGAAGCTGAGGAGCTGAAAATAAAGCAAGCTGAGGAGGCCTCAAGCGCATCCATATCTTGTTTCTTTTCTGAATATTCCATCTGCGAAATTAACGAAGCAACTCACAATTTTGATCAGGAATTGAAGATAGGTGAAGGGGGTTATGGAAATGTCTATAAGGGTCATCTTCATCACACTCAAGTAGCTATAAAAGTTCTGCACCAGCATAGCTCACAGGGTCCCTTGGAGTTTCAACAGGAGGTTTGTAACTTAAACTCCTTTCTTTTTTGAAATCAGAGATAACTCACATTCTTTTCTGAAATCAGAGATAACTCACATTCTTTTTTGGTAATGAAGATTGGTTTTACTCTCGTAGGTAGAGTTGTAAGACAACCATCTCTAGTTATACTCGTAATATTTTAAATTGAACTTCATCCTTTGGTTTCTACGAAAGGATTGGCTTAGTCTTGAGAACATTTATTAGGACCGCGGAAACTGTCTGTCTTTCTTTGAATTTTTAAAAGAGGAAGCATGTTGCCTACTGGCCAGTAGTCCTATACATTTCTTAGTCTTGATTGCCCTCAACCTGGGACTGTCTGGTTTTCTGAAAGATTGAACATTCAATTGAAATCTGGTGACAATTAAGATTTTCTTCGTGCAAGTGGCGTTTTTAGGAAGCAGAGCATTGAAACAGGCCTAGGCTATAAAGGCTGTTTTTATTATCTATACAACAAATAAAGTGGGAGCCTTGGGTTCAGTGTAAACAATTTTTTGTCACCTTTTTAACTTCATTTTTACCCTCACAAAAACTAATTGTTACCCTAACCACAACCAATTTTCATTCTAACTACCAAAGCACATGTTCCCATATAACCACCCATAAGCACTTTATTATGGCTAATTATTGTTGAATTCCAGCCCTGCTTCTTTTCCTTTTCATTGTTCTATGTGATACCATTTTATGTGGTTCCTTAACTTGATTGGCAGCCCAGAAACATCATAAGCAACCCCATTCCATTAGCTTTGATGTGTGCTGGATCCAATCATAGTACTTTCTACTACATGAACCCTTTGTTTATGGTCTTGTAGAGGTGAAGTCTGTGCCGCTCAAGTAAGTGAGCTCTTTGTTTATTTTCATGTAATGGCTAAATGCATTGTATAGACACTTCTGTGAGTTGATCTCATTTTAGGCAATCAAGTGCATAGGGAGTCTACTGTAGTGTTATTGCAGGGATGATGGTGAACCTTTAATGCACATGAACTGGATGTATTGAACATGGAGCTGCAGACGATCTTTTTACTCTTCTTTTAGTCATCCTTCTTAATCAAATGTATTGGACAACATGATTGGTTGAAGTATTCTGTTCAGTGGAATCTAGAAAGAGCTAATTCCCCTTTTTTTTTTTTTTTCTAAATCTTGTTAGGTAGGCATTTTGAGTACATTGAGGCATCCGAACATTGTCACGCTTATAGGAGCTTGCCCAGAAACTTGTTCCCTCATCTATGAGTATCTTCCCAATGGAAGCCTTGAAGATAGACTCAGCTGCAAGGATAATACACCCCCGCTATCATGGCAAACTCGAATTCGTATTGCTTCAGAGCTCTGTTCTGCTCTCATCTTCTTGCATTCTTGTAGCCCTAGAGGCATTATCCATGGTGATCTAAAACCGGCAAATATTTTGCTTGACAACAATTTTGTTAGCAAGCTCTGTGACTTTGGAATGTGTCGTGTTCTTGGGGAAGATAAATTTTCAGACAACAACACTTCACTGTGCTGCAGAACGGACCACCCAAAAGGCACTCTTGCATACATAGACCCTGAATATCTTGCGACTGGAGAGCTAACTACAAAGTCAGATGTCTATTCATTTGGAATCATTTTATTGAGGCTGTTAACTGGGAAGCCTGTACTGGGGATATATAAGGAAGTTGAGTCTGCGTTGAATAAAGGAAACTTGAAAGATATCTTGGACTCAACTGCCGGTGACTGGCCATTTGTGCAAGCGCAACAGTTGGTTCACTTAGCAATGAGGAGTTGTGAGATGAGTCGAAAGACTCGTCCTGAACTTGCTTCAGAGATCTGGAGGGTGCTCGAACCAATGAGAGCATCTTGTGGGGCATGTTGTTCTAGGTTGATATTCGAGGAGCAGTCTCAGATGCCATCTTACTTCATTTGTCCCATCTTTCAGGTATGTATAGCTTGTTTTGATCTTTGAAATTCCCTAACCATGCGCTCCAATTTTGTCTTTTCCTTCTTGATATAACAATAGAAGATTATAGAACCCATGTACTGCATCTTGTCTAGCCATCACTAATCTGTACATGTCAGATTGAGAGAGTTAGCTTGCTAAACTATACTCTATTTTCTATCCATCTGTTTATAGTTTCTAGGAACTTTTCATTAGTAGTTGGTCGTTTTAATGGGTGAGATATAATTTTCTTGGCTTGGCTCACACTTGTAGGAGGTTATGCAAGATCCTGTAGTTGCAGCTGATGGGTATACATATGAAGCAGAGGCTTTAAAAGGATGGTTGGACAGCGATCATGACACTTCACCCATGACAAACCTCAAACTGGCGCATCGCAATCTTGTGCAGAACCATGCTCTTCGATCCGCCATTCAGGAGTGGTTACAGAAACGGTAAACCTTAAAATAGTGCAACAACAAATTGTTCTTGCATTTTGTCATACTTCCTTTTTTTTCTAAATTAATATACGTTTCTTTTGAATTTTCTGTAACCATGTATAGTATAGAGAAATATGTAGGCAGCATATGTACTAGCTAGTAGCTACATTATAAAATATTCGGCGGAAGCAGTGCCGAGGAGCCGGAGTTGTTTATTTTGTGAATAAAAATCGTTGTAATTGGATCTTAATTTCTCTTTTAGAAACTAATTTTATTGATCTCAGTTTAGATTAAAATTTATTTCAAACCTTTTCTTTTAGTCTCACAATTATCCTGTTTGAAGTATAAAAGTTACAAGCGATTAAAAACATTCAGAAATTAGTGAATGAGTTTCAAAAAGTCTGTATCTGAAGATGACAAGATTAATCCAACATTGTAGTACAGGTTTTCTTTTATGTGCCAATAATTAGAACTTCCTGCATCATTGGCCCAAGCAATTATTGGTCTTGGCTTTGCCAATGTTGTAAAACAATAATGTACGTTAAGCAATACAGATCACAACGCCAAGTTTTCCTTCTATAACATGGCATGAAACATCGAATAACTCTTTTTTTTAAAAAAAAAAAATTATTTTGTAACAAATTCAGATGAATATGGTAAGAGTACGGTTCATCCTAACAATAAATCTTATAGATACGTCAAATTGGAATTCAACGATATGGATTGTCCCTCTTCTACTCGATACAGATTCTGCCTTCTTGTTTTTCTAAAGGAAAATGAGAGAAAGGAATGGGATAATACTCTGTAATACTTGCCCAACATCATGGATGTAAGGATCATATTGATGGGCGGCGGTAACGACTCCACTTATTGATGCGATGACTGTATTAGTGGCCCCTACAAGCGACTTATGATCCCGATAATGAAAAGCGATTTGTAAAAACTCCCGTAAGCGACCTATATTAATATGAAGGCCGTGGTAGTGGCTCCTGTAAGCGACCTACAGTCTCAAAAAATATGTTCTAAGTGGTGGTGATTGGAGTCGAATCTATCCAAACTTTTATTTTAAAAAAAAAAAAAAAAAACTCTATGATACTTCACCATCCTATATCCTTGCTCTTTTGAATCTGGGGAAAGGTAAGGTTCCTCTGGAAAAGGAACGTTCATGATCTAGGAAAAAAAATGTTTTCATGATCTAGAAATAATTGTTGAGATTAAACACCGAGGAAGGATTTGATTATCGAACATAATGTGTTTGGATAGCCAATTATTTGGTCAAATATATTTGCTGACATCACCATTACAATTTCCAATACACCTTTTTATCTTCCCAATTACTACTTTTTTATCTCACATACATCACATCACAAAAAGTGCTACAGTAAAAATATTTCAAATAACTTACCATCCAAACACACTATTATTAGTCCTTTACGCACTTCCAAAAATAGGAATGTCACTAACACGATGTTTTGGGATGTTTTAGGCCCACAATCCCGTCTTTGACAGGGCTCAGTCTGCTCTTGATATCAAATTCATGACTCTTCAGTCTTGGAACTTTACTTTCATGGTTAAGCATGAATATTAGTATACTAAAGATTACTTGCCAGCCTGAGACACGCTTTACTATACACGCTCAATAATTTCCGCCCATCAAACATTTGTCTATTGAAACTTCCCATACTGTAATTTGACTAGCATGCAATTTATGGTCCTGTAAACGGAATGTTGAAGTGGACCGTCGTCTCCGATTTGGCTGGAACATGCATATACGAGAATCCAGCAGACAAAAAACGCGGGTTTGTTCCAGTCATTTGCGGACGTTTTTACATGTTTTCTCTTTTTTTGGTTAACGCTGAGGAGGGTTTGTGCGTGGAAAAATGGAACTTTTGATGATCGATCACTCAGCACCAGCAGTCCAGCTCAGTTCACCAGTCAATTTCTTGAAACCTCATTATGCATGACCAGTTTCAGTCTCCGCCTTGAGACGTAATTCTTATAACTTTTGGTATAAATGCATACAATTTGAGTGTAAACTTAAATTTAAGTTTCCATGAAACTGATGAGTTTGTACAATACCATCAAATATATACTGGATGGAAAAAATGGCGATCCAGTGCTGCCAGGTGGAAATCTGAAATCATCAAATACTACTTTAAAGTTAGAGCTGTACACAGAACAATTATGTTACTATGATAGTTCTTCCAAAGATGCAATGTCATCAGTTGAAGTGAGGCCTAAATTCTGATTACGTGATAACAGTACTAGTGCTTTTAAATGTTTCATCCTGCAAAATGATTGAATAGATAAATCCAATTTAGATTTCTGGACTTAGAACTGCAATTTTTCAGTAACATGAGTTAGCCCAAGTGGTTAAATTAGAACAGTTATTTTCCTTATTTTGTATTATATATATATATAATATTATATATAAAAAATATAAAAGGTGTTTTGACTTTTCTAATATGACAATTATTTTGGGACATTCTAAAATGAAAAGTATGACACTTTCAATGGGACGGAGGGAGTAATAATTTACTGTTTTCCCAGATTGATGTAAGCTTTTTGGGATGTGATGGAAATTAAAGAGAATTTAAAGTCGTATAAAAAGATTTTCGCTCATGATTTGCTTGTTAATCATTCTTCAATTAGAAATGGTCAAAGCCGCAGGCGCTTAGCTAGTTAAGATGAAACTTCACTTGTGGGGTTTGTGTTGTCAGAAATTGACATGAAGTTTTCCTTCCATTAAGATATATGGTTGATGTAAATGGTTGTTTTCACTCCCTATACGAAGAAACTATAGCTTATGTAATCCCAACTAGGAAGGTTTATGACTCCTGGACTAGCTAGTTGGGAGCTAAGCAAGACAAAAACGAATGTCGGTGACCAAGAAAATGAGGATGATACACAACTTGTAACGGGAGAAAGTGCCAGGGATGTAATTAAGCCTAATTCGCGATACTAGAGTTCGACTCGACATGCAAGAAGGATGCTCGAACTCGAGTTCAATGATTGCTCATAGAACTTGAGCTTGATTTGCATTAACTCGAGTCAATGCGAGTCTTATCGATCTCGAATAAGAAAATTTTATTTTCTTGACAATTTTTGAACGAAAAGATATTATTACCCTTTAAAAATTTTATACGATTTGAAATATTTCGTAAATTCAACTACTTTTTTAGGCATAAGGATAATTTCACAATAATAATATATTAAAGAATTAAAATTAAAAAACTCGATAAGGCTCGATGAACTTTCAAACATTGTATCTAGATACTTGAACTCGACTTGCTCAACTTATCGAGCTACTGGAACTCAGTCAATCTGAGTTCGAGTCAAGTTTTTGATTGATCTGCTCACAAACAGGTCGGTTCGATTACAACCCTTGAAAAAACAATCTCAGAATTATATTACAAATGCACAAGAGAATGCTACTTCAAACCTATATAAAAAAAAAACTCGCCATCCCAAGTTTTTATCTCTAATTTTATTAGTAAAACACTTATAATCTAGCAACATAATCATTCACGACACGTTCACACGTAATTACTTTCAAAGACCTGCATTTTGAACAAATCAGATCTTTAGAATTTAATAACCCATGAAAATTAAAAAAAAAAAACTAATACGAGATTTCTCTTTTAGCATGAGTTAAATACCCAGTCAACTTTCGTTTCAAGCTTATTTTCACAACTTTACTCTTAAACATCGTAATAAACAATGATATCCTTATTACCTGACCATTTTAGATACTCCTTTCTGATCTCCTATAAATAGATCCTCCAAGGTTGCTTTTCTTTCATGCACATCGACTTCTAACGTTAATTGCTTCTCAAATTCATCACAAGCTATGGCCTACCCAAGATTTCCTTCATTGCTTTCATGCTTTCTACTAACATTTATTTCTTTCATCTTACAAACTCATTCCCAAGGTGACAGAATGAACGCCATAGATTCTTGCTGGCGTTCAGACCCTAACTGGGCCGCCAATCGCCAGGCTTTAGCTGATTGTGCAAGAGGCTTTGGCGCCGATGCAACGGGTGGAAAAAATGGTAGAGTTTATACTGTTACCGACTCATCCGACAACCCCTCCAATCCCAAGCCAGGGACATTACGCTATGGTGCAATCCAGAGGGAACCTCTTTGGATTTTATTCGCCAAGGACATGATAATTTCTTTGAAAGCAGTTCTATCTGTGAGTAGTTACAAGACCATAGATGGGAGAGGAGTCAAGGTAGAAATTGCCAATGGACCATGCATGGAGGTCAGAAGTGCTAGCCATGTTATAATACATGGAATCAGCATTCATGATTGTGAAGCCCAGAGGCCGGGCTTGGGTGATGCCATAACCATAACTGGATCTTCTGATGCATGGACTGATCATTGCTTTTTCTCTAGCTGTGTAGATGGCCTCGGAGACATCATTCGTGGTTCCACTGCGATCACCATCTCCAACAATTTCTTCACGAAACAAGATAAAGTAAGCATGTACAAGGCCATCAATAATCCAGTACAAGCTAAAAGTTACATGCATGTGTCTACATATATAATTTAGGATTTTATTTTAACTTAGTTCTATCATCCCTAGAAATTAATCATAAATTAAGCTCTTGCACCATCATTTTTATTTTTTGGATATTAATATGAGTAATAACTTTGTGCCCTCATGCACTAGGTCATGTTGCTTGGACACGATGATGATCATGACGAGGACAAGAGCATGAGGATTACTGTTGCATTCAATTACTTTGGCCCGGGTCTACTCCAAAGGATGCCAAGGTGAGAGTTATTTTGTAGCATTGTATAGGTCAATCAGTACACTTGAAAGGTTTTTGAAACTTTACTAATACGAGCAAGAACTACAGAGTTAGGCACGGCTATGCCCATGTTGCAAACAACAGGTATGAAAGATGGACAAGTTATGCCATTGGTGGGAGTGCGAACCCCACCATACTAAGTGAAGGCAACCAATACACTGCTTCAGACAATCCTCGAGCCAAGGAGGTATAATTTCTCATCAAAATTGTATTGAAATTGATCTAGACGGTAATTTTCATACTAACCTATATGCAAGCGAGATAGACTTTCTATAGTGACAGAGGGAAAAGTGGCTGCGATTGTGGTCAGATATAACTGTTCCAAACGATTTATTGTCATGATTTAGCCAACAATACAATTTTTTTTTTTTGAAAATGTACGACTTAAATCATCACACATAACTTTGACATAACTGATATCTACGATCTCATATAAATATAGAAGGGATCATTTCAAATACCTCCCTCAAGGTTTCTAACAATTATACTTGAATAGCCTCTAAAATTAAAAATTACACTTACCTCCCCTCTGTGATGGATGTGACAACATGTCTGCACCAAATGCCTTCTAATGACCAACTTGCCCTCAAAATGTTGTGCCTAATATTATTGCAAAAATGTGAGAAAAAAATTGCCTACAACAATAATATTTTTTTATTTGCTTCTTGGCACGATCATCTACAAAAGAAAAATTGATTTTGTCATTTCTCAACTGTTATCTTCAAAATTGATTTTATTATTCCTCAAATGCCATAGAGAGGAAGAATGCTAAGAGTTGAAAATAGTATTCATCTTTTACATTTTATCCAACTTATATGCTGCCAAGATATAACTGTTAGATATAGCTGTTGCAACCTATCCAACTCTTCTTGCTTCTAATGATCAAAAGTGCAAAATTGTACATGTACTCTATGTTGTACTGAGAGGATCCCTACTGCTTTCATATCTTTTTTCTCTTTTTAATTAATTTTTATAAATAAAGTGGCAAATGTTTCGTTCAGAATATAAAGAAGGTAAAGTTGGCAAAAAATTGTGTGTAAGTACCTTTTCCCACTTTTTAACTTTCTTTTGGTGACAGAGGCTGCAATATTTATTAAATGTGTCCATCAAAGGGAGGTGAGTGTAATTTTTAATTTTAGAGGGTATTTAAGTGCAACTGTCAGAAACATCGTGGGAGGTATCTCAAATTATCCCAATATAGAATATAGAAGAAAATATAACTTGACTGTTGAAAAAAAATTTATATGGTCTCGACAGTAAAAGGTATAGAATCCAAGTTTCACTTGTACCTTTTAACAGGTTACAATGAGGATTCAAGATGAAGATTGGAAGACCTGGACGTGGAAATCTTCCCGGGATGTATTTAACAATGGAGCTTTTTTCGTTCAGTCGGGATCAGGAAGCTATCTTCCTAATTACTCACCATCTCAATCCTTCACCGTCGCACATGGGGCTGCAGTTCTGACTTTAACCTCTGATGCTGGTCCTCTGGAATGTAACACAAACAAAACATGTTAGATTATCACATCACATTATATGTCGTTCTACAAACAGTAATACGTTTGGACTTGATTAAGAATTTTAGATTGATTAAATATGGGATTATGCATGTGATTAGTGCTGCAACCTAGCTGGTTACTAGCCAGCTAGCCCTTTAAAAACTACTAGATTTTACGGTTTCTTTTTCTTTTTTCTTTTTTCTTTTTTTGTGCTTGCTGGTTGGTTTGGAACCACCTCATTGTAAACCATGTGTCTCTTGAGAAGTACTTTCAATGCTATATGGCCATTAGAGGTTTGATGTTTTGTTTCTTTCTTCCCTTTTCTTTTTTTTTTAAAAAAAAAAGTTTTTTGGATACTTGTTCTGGTTTTAAAACTTCAAATTCCTGAGTTTTGTGCACGCACCATTGTTTGCTAGAAAGACGACCAACAAAGAGAGTTTAATCATAACCAAATTTAATTCATTCTAAATGTGATAGGCCAAAAGCAAAATCCTCAAAATTGTGAGGGTTTGTCTATAAATTTTGTCTTTTTAAATTGCTTCTCTTTGTATAAACATAATAGAGTTTCAAGTCAATCCAGTTAACATTCATGACTTCAACAGACTCACCAAAAAAAAAAATGAATAAATTAGTTAAAAAGGTAGAGAATTAAGCTATAGAAAATACCATGCCCACATATATAATATGTACGAGAGTAAGAAGAAGCAAAGTTAAAGGAAATTAAAACAGGGAAAGACAATAAAAACTAAAGATGTTTTAAAAAAAATGAAGAAAGAGACATGATTCAATCTAATGGGGATTCAAAATATAAAATAGTTTATGGGATAAAATAAAACTAAAGCACCAATACAAGGAGCTAGACGCAATTTAGCCAACATTTATAAGTGGGCTTGTTATTAGGGATTTAAATCAGCTTCGAGTACACAGTCAATAGGTGAAAGTACAAAAAGGTAGGTCATGACTCATGTAGGCAAAGGGAGACCATGGAGCTTACTGCCGGTTAATTTGCCCTGCATTCTTATTGACATAATTATTGTTGGTTTCTTCTAATTTCCTTCACGCGTATTTTGGTAGATGTATTTGACTTTGTATCTTCAAATAGTGATATTATTATGATATAATTAGGGTTTGTTAAGCCCTTTTTCTTATCCTTCCTTTCCTTTCTCTTAAAAGAGAAACGGTCGATTATTTTTCGATGTTTATCATTTTTTTTTTTTCACTTTTCTCCTTAACAGTACAATTTGTACTTGTGACCTTCTTAATAGTGAGTTTTCTTTTACTTTCTTAATAATTCGAAATCTGAACTTTTCCAGTGATAAATAAAACGGGTTATCAATTAAAATATATTTTGTTAGTTTTGTACATATAAGCTACCTTGATGATCAATAACAGTTATGCCTACCAAAAAAGTTAGCCCATCAATTAATGCATCTTCCAAGGTGACAGCACGCACTATAAATTGTAAACCGGATCATCCGCATATTAATTTGGAAAGGACTAGGTCAAATTGGCCATGTTCAGTTCACATGAATTGTTCAGGGACTATTGCCACACGAATAGTCAAGCGTCAAGGAGAGGTGACAAAAGTCAATGCGTAGTACAATTTCATTACGTATAGCTTAGAATATGATGTGATGGACCAGAGGGGCAGGAACGGTTGAAGGTTAGAATATGCAACCGTTCCTGAAAGGTTACGTTCATCTATGCAACTGTTTCTGAAAGTTACGTGCATTTTACATACAGGATAATTTTATTTATACATAATATAATTTATTTTTAATAACGTGTAATTTTAGAATAAAATTTTATAAGTCTCATACATGTTATTAAAAATGAGATACAAGATGAAATTTGGATCGTATAATTTTTTTTAGTCAATTTTTGATCGTAAACTGCTCGGAAGCGGTCCGCCTGATGACCGTCCTGCCCCAAATAATGATGAGATCAAGTCCATATCCATTTTGCTCATGACCAATGAGACTGAAGGTGCAGAGAAATTGAATGACGTCGAGGGCAGAAGATCACAACTAGGTTTCTGAATCTGATTACAAAAGCCAAGATCATTAGTAATTTATGGCGCCGTCTTATCTGTACGGCCTATACGGCCCGTAATAAATCGTTATGCTCCGACAGTCGACGGTGCCACGACTTTTCTGTCACGCGCCATTTCACTTTCTCTTTATCCAATGTGGTTGGTACCTTTTTATTCCCTAAGTATTCTTTTTTTCATATTAATTGATTTTCTGCTCTCTCTCTCTCTCTCTCTCTCTCTCTCTCTCTCTCTCTCTCTCTCTCTCTCTCTCTCTCTCTCTCTCGGCAATATTGAGCTTTTGAGTTTTGAGTATAGAAGTATCCAACTTGAAGACATATTATGCAAAATACTATTTATTTAATCAAAACTTGGATAAAAGCTTTATTTAATCATCTTTACATATTATGTGAAAATATATGCAAAATACTATTTATTCACTTTTTTGCATGTTATTTTTTCATTGTATGGCCAACATGTATCTCATATATCTATATATCAGGCTTTATTGTTTGTCCTAAATGACATGATAGCAATCCCAATATAATATACTCATATTATCACCCACCCATGAATTATATATAATTTTATGTTAAAAAATTAAACTTTTGGAGAAGATAAAATTAGGGATGACCACCTTTGTACATGCTCCTTAGTCACAAAATATAAAAACTTTTTATATCATACTAGCAAAACCCAAAGAAATCTTCTATTTAATTATAATTAATTCCATACAATTTGGTTAACGATGCTCAATAAACACTCGTTAAGAGAAGTTTCAAGTATTAGGCCTTGTTTGGAAAGGGATTTTCTACCAAAAATTTTCTATATTTTCCGTAAATACATTTTTCAATCACTTTTTTACCTCATATATATCAAATCGTTATAGTACACTTTTTATAAAAAATTTTAGAAAATTGCAATTTAAACACAACCTTAGTTTTTAAAAAATACGACTAATTTCAAAATGTGCTTAAATATAAGGAGTGCGATGATTGTGATTGCATATATTCATATGATAAGTTAAATATAATTTAGGTGTGCTAATGAGTGTCTATTAAGACTCGTTAAAAAAATCGAAAAACTTTATAGCGTAAAATATTATCATGTCTCATTTAGCACATTTCAAAGATGTCATAGTGTATATCATTCTCAAATAGGATACAAGATAAGTTGAGATTTTGGATAATATATAAATGAAATATTAGTTAGCAACAAATTGGTTTAACCCAAATCATCAAAAATTCTATCGACCCAAATATCAAATCCAAATTTAAGGATAGTATGTACTTTATATACGTTTCAGAAAAAGCCAAAAACGAGTTTGCCATTAATCACTTTGGTAGATTTATTCATTAAATGAAGTAAAAATTTTGCAACTATTTATATATCAAACTTGATTTGGAGTAGCTTTTGAAGTTCAAATATCTACTTGAATCTGTTTGATAATTCATAAAAAAAAATAACTTTCGTACATTCAATGTAACGACAAAAGCTATTTACGCTTAACTTTTATTAGACATGAGTATCACCAAGTTTCAAAATTTTCATTTAACAAATAATGTATCAAACTAATATTGGTTTGCTTATTAAAATGTACTTGGAACAGTTCTATATTTGCTAGCGTGAAAATGTGATGAGAATAATAAGAAACTTGTGAGAAAGAAAGAGGAATTTCATTATAATATCATTTAATGATCTTGGACAGGAACACCACTAAATTAAACAGTGAAACATGGATAGTGTTCATTGGTGTAACTAATTATCTTCTAATTTTAGACTTTAACACGTCAAAAAACAAAAAAGACTTTAGCACGTCACCACCAGGGTCGAGCGTGTGAGTCACGCTCCATTCCAAGCGTTGTTTCAGTGTCATTCTGCGACAGTCCAAGAACTTTGATCAACGGTTATAAGAGGGCTTTCCTGACGTGACCAACGCTAAATCAACAACTTATCACTTGTCGTAAAGCGAAATTAAAATAAAACTAAAGCCAAACAGCCCCTTAACAGCCCCACTTCTTCTTTCATCCATACCATTCTCCTCTGTTTTCCACTTTACCTCCTACAGTTCACAGTTCACATAACCCCACAACAATAAAATCAGCATTAGTTTTGAACAAAACCCAATTGATCTTCCTCTGGAAAACTTTCTGGTCTTTTTTTTTTTGAGCTGATGAAGTTAAAGATGAGAGCTTTGAGCTGTACTGTTAGTACAGTTGTTCTTGCAGTTGTGTTTTTGAGTAGTTCTTCAGTGTTTGCAGGCGATATAGTTCACCAAGATGATGAGGCACCTAGAAGACCTGGTTGTGACAATAATTTTGTTCTGGTAATAACCCTTTCAGCTGTCCTTTTCTGGTTAATTGGTAAAAAGAAATCTGTTTTTCATTGTTTTATCTTAATTATCTAACTTTTAGTATGCATATTTTGAGTCGTTTCTAAAGGTTTTGCATTGTTTTTCTTATATCAAGTATAGTATACTCTAATATGCTATTTTCCGTGTTCTGATTTTCGTGCTTTTGAAAGTATAGGTTTTGTTTTTTCTTGAATATTTCGGTGTATCAATTTGTTTTACTTTTTGTTCATCAATTAATTTTTAGTTTAAAATGACCATCAGCATAATAGTCCTTGTCCAAAGTATAATTGCTGAATCTTGAAGCTGTCCTTTTGTTGTTTTTGTAGCTATTAGTTGCTGTTGTTGATTCTCTTGCTACTCTGGCTAAGATGTTTGTTTTTCCTTTTGTACTTCATTGAATTATACGAGATCTTTCACGAAGGGGAGTTGTATAACGAATGTTCACCTTTTGCAGTGTGCTTCACTCTAGGAATTTAGTGATTGATTTCCAAAATTCTTGTCGAGCAAACCGGAAAAGATAGATAGTTGGAATTTTTGTTGAAAGTCGTGTATCTATATTAATCAATCAGCAATCAGGGTCCCCAAATTTAAATCTTAAGGTTTCCTTAAGGAGAACAATTTCAATTACTTGTTTATA